TTAAAATACATAGACGAATACATAAATAACTATTAATACACTGGTCAGCAAATAAACCGAGCCACCCGCTACCTAGGAACTCTGATTCGATTTTCTCAAAAAGTATAAAACTTACAACTATCAAAGTTATACCTACAAAAAGTGCGTTTCATGGTGATTAAAATGACTAAAAATTAATTCGAAAGTACCTTCAACTCACATTGTAATCAAGCAACAAACACAATGCTAACGATTTGTCTGTTTTCACCAGAGTTTGAAATTAGCGTTCTTTTTCTCTACAATGAGGGTAGTCCGATATTTCTTATCATTTCTTTAGTTTTTGTCCATCGTTTGCTCAGACGCGTGTGTTTTTGCTACTTTTTTCGATTAATAATGGATACAACACCTCAGGAAGCAGCTCAAGCTGTAGCATTACTTCAAGCAGGCATTGCGCAACGTGAAGTCGCTCGAAGGCTTCGAATCAGCAGATCTTCGGTGCAACGAGTTTACAGACGATACCTAGAGACTGGAGCATTCGATCGCCGTCCAGGTACGGGCAGACCTAGGGCTACATCAGCAGCAGATGATCGTTATATCCACCTTACTGTTCTGCGAAATCGCCACCTCAACGCAGTTCAAGTCCAACAAAGTCTGCGTGACGAACGCCAAGTGGTCATAAGTTCAGATACCGTCAGAAGGAGACTTGCTGAACGGAACCTGACCCCAAAAAGAGCTGCAACAGGCCCAGCATTAACGGTAGCACACCGTCGAGCACGACTTGAATTTGCTCGAGAGCATAGGGATTGGACATTAGAGCAGTGCAGTAATGTACTCTTCACTGATGAGACCAGGGTGAGTCTACATGGAAGTGATCGACGTCAGAGAGTATATCGTCGCCCTGGAGAACGTTATTCTCAGTGTTGCATCGAGGAAACTGTTGCTTATGGAGGAGGATCTGTAATGGTCTGGGGCGGCATCTCGTTAACAGCACATACAGCGTTAGTTTTCATCGAACCGACGGGCCGTACACGTGGACTGACTTCTCATCGCTACATTACTGAAATCCTCGCAGACCATGTGGTACCTTACGCAGGATATATCGGACAGGATATGCAATTGATGCATGATAATGCACGGCCTCATGTTGCTCATGTGGTGACCCAGAGCTGAAACGTCGGGTTCGAGCCCGGGTACCTGCTCCAACAAGGCTTCAAGAGCTGCGAATCGCAATTGAAGAGGAGTGGAATACAATTCCTCAAGATTTTATCGTCAGGCTCGTAAGGTCGATGAATACAAGGATGCTGGCAGTTATCCGAGCAAGGGGAGGGAATACGGAATATTGATCAAAAATTTTTTTTTTGATTTTATATTTGTTTTTGGCTTTAATTTTTTTTTTTCACTTTATCATTACTAACGATTGTCACGACTGGAAAACGACTCTTCTTTGTAAAATGCTTAATAAACACTGAAATATTGATTAAACCCAATGAGTTTCCTTTCATTTTAATCACCATGAAACGCACTTTCTGTAGGTACAACTTTGTTAATTGTAGGTTTTTTAGTTTTTGAGAAAATCGAATTAGAGTGCCTAGGTAGCCGGTGGCTCGGTTTATTTGCTGTCCAGTGTATATTATATATATGGAATAAAATAAATACAATAATGTCTGAGGTAACGAAATCATGAGGATATTTCCTGTAGAATTCTCCGACTTTAGCTTTGAACGTGTCACGACTTGTTGACATCCCGATCTCAAGTGGGAGCGCATTCCATAGTAGAATAGATTGGACAGCAAATGAAGAATGAACAATGGAAAAAGTGTGTATTGGACACAGAACTAAAAGATTATTAGTGAACCGAAGATCTCTGTCATGGTTGGAGCTTAGCGATTTAAGCTGTGAAGTGAGATAAGTGGAAGTTGTAGGATTATTAAGAAGAAATTAAGGGTAGTCAAAGCCCGCAAGCTACGGCGCTGCCGTGTAGGTAACCATGACAGCTGGGATCGATAGGCAGACACATGGTCGTCCTTGCGGTGGTTAACGATGAATCGAATGCAATTATTGAGAAGTCGATCAAGTTTGTTGAATAGATCTGCATTCAGGTCGAGGTAGCACACATTACCATAATCAATGATTATAAAGATCAAAGCCTGTACAAGCATTAACTTGGTAGTATGTGAAAGAAAGTTCCTTAGCCGTTACAGTGATCGCAAGATTCCAGTGACTTTTTGACTTACGTTCGCAACCTGCGGTTACCAAGTAAGACTGAGTCTATCCATAAGCTAAGATCTTTGACAAATGAACTGATCGGTATGTTGGATCCGTTGTATAGTAATACGATCAGCGGCAGTTTTGATGTGTCTTATCTGCTCATCATTGATTATGGACTGACACTTGTATTGATTCACACTTACGCGAAACCCCCTCGGACCTGTTTTTGATCTTCTAATTTCTTGGAAAAATTGTAGAATCTCTTTCACGTAAAGATACGAAGGTACTAGATTGAAAATTTTAAGGTATACAATATTTGTTGTTACCAAGCTTAAAGATAATTAGAAGGATACCTATTTGCGTAACACCGGGGCCAGCCCGGGAGAGAGGTTTATATAAAATCGTCGGACCTTACAAATCGTCAAGTGTGATTTCCTTAACGAGCAACATGACGTCTTAAGTGTGTTTCGTTGTAGGTGTATTTCTAACGGTAATTGGATTGGTTGTGCTCGGCTTCCGTTCATCCGTTTAAGGTAGCGCTAACGGTTCATTAGGCCCGACTTTATGCTGCTAATTAAATACGCATTCACAAAGTTTTTATACGTAATGTTCAGTAATTGAGAAGTCTGTCTGTGTTTCAAGAACTTAGCTAATTTAGAATTCATCTTAGGCGTACTTAAAAGCTTGATTTGGTATTTTGCCGGTTTTCACTCATTTTAATGCGACAATAGATTCTATCTGTGTCCCTGTGCTGGATGAAAGCATGGCAATGTGGTTTGCCTAAAAACACGTAGATTAAGTCTGTAAAGGAACTGTCTTCTCGCTTGCCCATGTCCAGAGGGTTCGAAATCGGATCTAACCTTTTTAACCTAATCAGTAAAACTAATGTATCCATCCATGGTAAAATGACCCGCTTTCAAAGACTCGGTAGTCAAGTAAAATTATAATTTGAGGAAGTTAACGGTTTTAGTAGTTTTAGCTTTAAAATAATTTTCTGATCAATAAAACGTTTTACTGTTCCTGCTGTCCTGCAGAATAATTTACTACTACTACTACTACTACTACTTACTGTATAAGTCCTACTTCCTAATCTGCTTTGTAACAAATTCCAAACGAGAGATCTGGTATTTGTGTGTGTCACAGTATTATATAAACTTTATTTCAATATTTTAAGCCAAGTTTGTAAAAACATATCCTCAAAAATAATGTTAGTAAATAGGTGAGACAGGTAAACTGTGTAGAGTCAGTTATATTGCAATTCTAATTTCTTGTCGGACTCAGTCGAATGTTGCTACACGATGACTTTGACGAACCCGTTTTGATTGAAGCTTTCAAACTACTAATTTCATTTTATTTTTAAAAAGATAACTCCCGCATTAGGAATGTATCCTGTGTCGCGGAGGACTTTACAAACATACATGAAATGGACACAAAGAACACCCAGACTCAGAACAACAATTTGTGGATTACACAAAGTGTCATCCCATGTAGGGTTTGAACTATCCGTGCAGTCAGAGGTGTATTATGGGAAAGAAATACAGGTAAAGGAAAGGAATATTGTTTATACGAACGGAACGGATAAGGGAATGTTAGCAATAGCTGCGAAAGCCTCAGCTCTGCAAGTATATTTCTTCAACATCTATTAAATCTTGCTTTTTGTATACAAATTATTTTCAAGATATAATTGATGTAATTTACTTTAAATACTGCCATAATTCTATCAAGATGTTTATCAATGTTATACTCGATGATAAGCTATGATTGGATTTTATTATCTTTTATATTATTCATAATTTATATTTAACTATAGCCATCGTCCACCATAACAGAGATAATCTTATCATAAAATGCGAGTTTAAATTGTTAAATTTACCTGCGAACAGCAGGGTGTACAATCAAATCATCTCTTTGAAAGCTTCTATCTTTATAAATTAGAATGAAGGTTGGTACATGCCAGTCCGGAAATTGAAAAACTTCACCGTGTTGCGGACCTTCTTTTATTCTAAAATTTGACAGTTTTTTTAAGAAAAATAAATTCCTGCTAAAACCATGTGGCAATTTATTGAATTGGAGAGGACGTGATTCTATCAGAAAAACCGACCTTGAGTCGCTCTTGCAAAATATGAACGTATAATACATAATAATTTTTAGTTACTTCTGCATGCAGAATTAAAGTTATCTTATCTGACCAATCTTAATCAATGTTAATAAATTTTATGCCCATTTTTTTTTGACGTTGGTCGTTGAACCCAACAGCGCCCGGCCAGGACAAACCCCCCGGCCACACCGGAGTCTCACTTGCTTTGGGTCGTTTGTAGCGGCCACATCATCCCAAGATGTCGCCGCAGCGACCCTTAAGCAGCTAGATTGGATTACTAGCGACACATATGGCGAAGCAGGCCTCTGCCATAAGCATGTGTTTGTCTTTAGATCTTTGAAACGTGATTACTTAAAAAAAAAAAAAGATAAAGGTAACAAAAAATCCGCTTCTTATTAATACTTAACACGTGATTTTCAAACATTTCATTCAAAAGCTTTACTGCGAACAGTTATGTAATCAAAGATTCAGTCACATCACATTAAAACCAAATTCAGAAACAATATACTTTTGTCTAAATTTTCTAATTTAAAACTACTACTAATATATTCCAATAAAAGTTCATTTAATTGTTTATTGGTTTTTTTAAAGTTTTTTTTATTAATAATCAATTTCTAAGAACATAGATGACTATTTTTGTCACTCTGATTGAGTACATAACATAGCCCAATGTATAATGTGTCTTCTTCAATATTCGTTTCTCTTATTGTTTCAGTTTTGACGTACGTGGGCGGTCGTTCAACAAAGCACTACAATGGTCTGATCCAGGTGCCTTTGGTCCAAGAGCATATTTCGCCACTGTTGCGAGACCTGCAGCGCTCACGTTAAGCTCTGTACAATTGGACGATGAAGGGGTGTATCGGTGCCGGGTAGACTTTAAGAACTCACCAACTAGAAATTTTCAAATCAAACTAACAGTAATAGGTAAGTTTTCTTTTGAAGTAAAATATATTTTTTGATAAATCTAAAGTGACATTGAAAGAAAAATCCAATTATAAATGATATCAATATTCATTTCAAAGTTTTTATAATGAAATCTAAATGTCATTTTTCTCTGTAACAGAGAACTTTAACAGATAGATACGTTTTAAATTTAAATAAATAAATTTTTCTCTGTAACGGAGAACTTTAACGGACAGTACTCTTTATTGCACACCATAATTAGGATACATACGATGATACATACAAAAAAACAATGATACAATGGGCGGCCTTATCGCAGTCTACGATCTATTCCAGGCAACCTTTAGATGGACTATACTATACAGTAATATGTAGCGTGCGATGCGCACTTACAATTTACGTATGTTAACTAATATTTACATACATAATTACATAGATAAAAACTGTGTACAAATAAGGGTGTTTTACATATTGGTGTCAGGCTCAACAGTTACCCAGTTCAGGTGTTGTAATTTATGTGAAATCAAATTGAATACATAATTAAATAATACGGCTACACTATTTTAGCATCAAAAACACATTTATATGGTTATAACTTAATATCAATATTTAAGCAGTTTATAAATCATAATTATTAAATATTTGTGCTCTGTGGTATAAGTGACTGTCCTATTGGTTTAATGTTTAGGAATCCTGACTGCTGACCCATACGTCTTAGTTTTGATATCCAGACAGTTCAAATAATTGTGACCATGATTCGTTTTTGTATCTAAAAGTATATGTAAGTAAAATATATGTTTGTCTAAGTATGTTTATCAGTAAGCTGGGTATCACAGTATGGTCTCTGCCTAGTTTAGACCAGATGGCAGCGTGTGAGAAATTAAATCTTAATTTTAGCATTTATTACAATTAGGTTTGATAATGTCTATTGTCTGTGTTCAAGAACCAAACAGCAGTAGTTATTCACAAAGTGCTTATTCCTAAATGTAACGAGTAGTCGAAAAATCTAAGTAACGTAATAAACGAGCAAAAACAAAAACAGCGCTGGCTTTCATATCAAAATTTTATGAAGTGACAACTGGGAATCAATTTAGTCATTACGGATGAATCCGCGGGAGCCAAGCGGTCGTCCCGTGATGACATCGCGCAGACATTTTAATTATGAACTGTCGACTTGGGATCGGCGAGGTTGCTTAGCAGCCGCGCCGATAAAAACGATGCCCGCCGACGATGACACAGATAAAATCTGCAGGAGACAGGTTAAATTTAAAAGGAAATTAGATTTGAATAGATCAAATTGTCTGAGCGTTATCAGTTCTTGGTAGTGATCCCTTAATTTGCCTATTAAAACATTTTGGGGCTGTGAAAAGGCTCCGTAATAATATAAAATGAGTGAATTTGCATTCGTTCTTATACAAACGTTATAGTTAATCGTATATTTCAGTGTTTTGGTGACGTTATTTACTATTTTTAAAATCCATATTGTCGCGACTTATTAAGATTGAATCTCGCAATTACTTTATTCACTACAGCGCTATAGTCATATATAATTGCATTAAAAGATTTATTCGGCAACAACATCAACTTGACTTTATTAGTATTTTTTGAAATATTACCTAAGGACACTCATAAAAATATAAACAGTCGCTATTAAATGAGCAAACTACCGTTGAGTATTTAAAAGAAATTACCCTATTAAGGCGACGAAAGAAGCTGGCAAAGGAGACGAGGGAAGTAAATTTCTTTTGCACAGAACAAAGCATTTCAAAGTAAGCCTACACCGCATATATGCAACTCCATTGAAATCCATTAGTCTGCTCGCGCTGAGAGGTAATTTGCAAGAAGCCTTTTGTTGGCAAAGGGACGGTTCACACAGAGAACTCACTCACTTATATAATCAGGCATATTTATAACATCATAAAATATCCAATTACTATTGAGAACGCCGGGTGTTCATTAATGGCGCCAAATAATAATCAAATCTGTCTCTTGCCTAGTAACGACAACAATTGCGCTCTCGATTTCATTCCATATTGATTATTGTCATCAAGATCAGAGATATAATATTTATGGCAGTTAATCGTTGAAGAGAATTTTTGTTGTAGTGCCTCCACATCAGATGTTGATGTACGATAAATCTGGCGCCGATGTATCAGGAGTTGTAGGCCCTTTGGAAGAAGGGTCTGCTTTAGTCTTGGTGTGCGAAGTAAGAGGTGGTAAGTTCAAAGAATTAAGGCATCTTTTTTATTGTTCGTATTATTTTTACTTTTCAATATGTCACTTTTTATCACAGAATATAAAAAAAAGATTTCTTTTAAAGGTATTTCGTACACCTACGCATGCTCCACTGTTAGGAGCCACTTATTGACATTCTATAACATCCGGGTCAATGCTCAAAAATTTAATATCGCAATATGTCTTCGCACATACAAGATACAGATTCCTAGAAATGTTGATACTTAGGTAAACGATTTATACAACTTAGCAAACATGTGTTCTCGGATGTTAAAGATTTATACTTAAAAGATCCTTCAATTGATGTGATTGAAAAAGATTTACTATGGTTTTTTTTTTGAAAGGTAATCACTATAGATGAAATATAATTTAATCTGTCCTAATTTGAAGTCGTTGTGCCGTTGATATTCAATTTCATTTTAAAACTTACTTTGTAGCATGCAATGGTGAATAGATACGAAAAACGGTACCTGCTCATGCTTGTTTTTGTTATAAAACACAAAATATAAATAGATATTAAAATTTATAAATATCTAAAGCAGCCGAGAATAATAGACATATAATAAAAAAGAGATGACTTACGTTTAGATTTTTAAGATACTAATATACATACTTTAAATATGAGTACTTTTTTAATAAGTTTTCGTATAGTTTGTAATTATTTTTTGAGCTCATTCAGAAAATTCTATTAGGCCGGCGGTATTAATTTACCATTTCTACTTGATATTACAAGTGGGATAATAATCGAATCATGAAAATGATCATAAATTAGAATATAATACCATGAAGATGGCCAAAAACGCATTTATTACATCGTTTCATTAAAGTAATCACCTAGGAAATCTGCATTGATGTCATTCAGGATTTGCTTAAATAAGTTTGTGCTTATTTTTTTTTTTCTTTTATTCAATACATTTTTATGCATTTTAACAATATTTGTCTTGCGTATATGCGTATATGTATATGTATATCCAACTCATACCTATTATTCCATTATTCAACACTAAAAGTACAAGCAAAACCTTGTATTTGCCTTGAAAAACTCGTAATTTTCATGTATTCGTTTTGATTTTTTTGCCGTCAAGATTTTGTTTGTTGTTGTAATAATAATAATAATAATAATATTTTTTATTTGACCAATATAAATATTACAGTGTAGGACATTTCAGTTTAACATAGATCTTAGACAATAATTAGACTAAGTTACACTAACGTAAATCTATAGTTATTTTTCTTTGTATGTTGTAACCATACAAAGAAAAATAGTTACACCAAGGAATCAATATTCTTAACTCTTTTTTCATATTAACTCTCCAATTGTCAGCAGATAGTTATTTACCCTTCAATGTTTTTGAATCAATACAACATCCAAAACATTGATGCGTCTCAAAATACTTATAAGAAAACAGAACGTGCTCAGAATAAATGGACGTTCATGATTTTAAAGTTAGAAATGCGTAAATTCAGTTTGTTCGCTTAGCCATCGCAAAAATATGGAGCGACTTTGGCTTTCGTTTTTTTCCTATTGCTTGATTTCTTTTATGGAAACATTGGAAGAGATATTCCATTCGAATGAGTTCATTGAAAAGTCCGCAGTATGGCCGGCTGGCGTCGCGCCAGTGTGCTAGGGATTATCTTCGGCCGCGTGCCCACCAATTGTGATGATGCAGCCGGGCGAACAGCGGGAATTTAGGCTTTGACCCTGTTATCATGTTCGTACTTAATTGTAAGATTTACGAAAAAAAAAATCTGCGCTCAGACGTGTTAAATAAACATTTCCGCTTAGATCGAATTTTATCGTTTTTCTATTATTGTTTTTATTTAAGTCACTTGTGTCATAACCCTATCTAGAAATTTACTTTGAAGTTATCCCATTTGATTTCTTTAGCTTCAAATATTTGTTGTTGATTATATCTCTCCAGAATGTGCAGTCAATTTTAAAATTACTTTAACCTATCTCCCATAGGGCGACCTGAACCTGTTGTTTCATGGTGGATAGACGGAACTCCAGCCTCTCAATATATCGGCGTTAAAACAGACACGCATGTGATAGTCAATCGTCTTGAAATGCAACAGTTGAAGCGAGAAGACCTCAACACAACCTTCAAGTGTAGAGCTTCTAACACCAATTTGGTGCCACCGCATGAGAAAATTGTTAGGCTTGAGTTAAATTGTAAGTATTTTTTTAAATATGAAAGTAAAATCTATTGAAAACTTAATCGATTACAGTTTCTTTAATTAGGTTTTTTTTTCACAAATCCTCTTGAAAATATAATACTGTTTTAATTGACTGACCAACTTTATAAAGTCTGGGTTATTTTTCAGTCAGGCTTTATTTCTTTATTAAAGCTTTTTTTAAGTAGGCTAAAAGAGTCTTCCATTTAACACGATACTTAATTATTCTACCAGCCATCTCTGTGGGCCACTAGAGATTCATTCCAATTACAGTCTGCTGTAAAAAGGATTAATAAAGTATTTTGAAACCAGTACTCTGTTCAATTAGCTTGTGTATAAATTAATATTTTTAGGCCAGTACTTTATTAAATGTAACACGTATCTTCCCCAAAAACGATACTCTCTGTATTAATGTGTGTTTAGGCCGGCAAATAAAGTTTAAAACTCTGATACTTAAAGCAGTTGCGATTAAACGGCTAATGAATTTAATGTTAAAATACACACATTTCACTCAAATACTGGAAGAACTGAGTACGGAATAATTTTTGGCTAAACTTTCATTTTTTACCAATTATTATTGGATTAATAATTTTGAGAAAAAAAGGCTTATGAAAATACAATCCTATTGATACCCTGTAATTTTAGTACCAATTATAAATTTTTTTTTTTCACATTTGAGTACTTTCTTGTATTGATTGACGTACAGTTTTGATCAAAGTTTAAAACGATTATTTAGAAATATATTACCTTACAACTATATTGTAAAGTCTATTGTTCAAAAATTAGTCACGGAAACTTATTGTCACTGTGAAACTTGTTGTTTTACTATTTCCCTCCCAGAATAAAACTACGATTATGTTTGCGTCGTCGATTATGGTGATATTTCATAACCGCTTCACGTGACCAATTTCTATTTAGTGCCTTTTCAATCTTGGCACAGAACGTTGTGCTATTCTCAAGATTTATGTTATACGAGTGTAATATGGTATATAAGGTATAAAAAGATGCCAATATTTGCCCAAGTGATTTAATTATGCTCAGAATTAGCTAATATCACACATTTAACTTTTCTGCTAAAACTGTGCCAGATTATTTACTCCTCAAGTAGTTTTACACTTACACTGTTCTTAGCTATATATTTATTATGAATTTATTGCCGCCCAAAATAATGACTAATATACCAAATCTTGGGTGTAAATAAAATCTTGATTATTTTATAAAACAATGTAAGAAACTGAACAACTGAAAATCCATCTGTCAGTAATAAAATTTTGTAAATCTCCCTAGTGACTTATATTTACTCAGTTCTTTATAAGAAGATAAATTAAGTAAAGTCTTCACTTGGCCGTACATTTTTTTAAATAAGCCTTGTTTTGATATTAACAAGCACTACAAGAATAGAGTTAGCCAAATAGCCGCGGTCATGCCAATGCCTTTACATTTAGCTATTAATTTTAATTTATTTAGAAGGTCTATTATAATCGTCCAAAAACTTAATAATAATGTATCGTTGTTGTTTTTCCCTAACAGTGGCTCCTCTGTCAGTGTCTTTGCTTAACCGACCACAGCAACTTCTGGCTGGTGCATCGGCTTCTCTTCGGTGTGTCTCAGAAGGGAGCAGACCACCCGCACACATTACCTGGTACAAGGACAACAGAAGTTTCGACAAAGATATGGTAAGATACTATAACTAAATATTAAATTAAAAAAAGTTAGCTGTTTGGTCACACTTTGGCTTGATATAGCTTCAAATGCTGAAACGCAGATGACGCGGTTCTCTAAAGTATGGCATACATCTGATTCATGTTGAATTGTCTGAATTCATGATTTTGTGATATACGTGTATAAATGGGTGTATTATGTAGTTCATGTAATCAATTGTATGATATTTGAACATATGAAAGGTCTTGGGTTATTCATTAAAAGCAAAATTGAGACTGCGCTTCCGCAGTTTAATACAATTCAGCATGTAGGCATAAGGTCATCGACATAACTCACCTTATTAGCAAGCTGAAGTGACAGTGGGCTGGCCCTATTAGCCACTGAACCGACAACTGTTGGGATAAATGAGTTTTTAAGTGTAGGGCGCGCCTAGGCAAACATTGTGTAGGACACCCACAGATGCCTGGCAGGAGTTGGATGCGAGAAGCCGGAAATAGATCAAAGTTTCGTACATTGGGAAAGGCCTATGTCCAGCAGTGAATTGAACTGGTATTTTTTTTGTTTTTAAATTAACTATATTAGGAGAATTTTGGTGATTTCATAGGCAAGAAGTATAACTATGTAGATTTATGATTGTAATAAATGATAAATGAATTTAAAACTGATAAATGAAATTATTTTGCGAATAGATCTTTCCAGACACTCATAAGTCAATTTGTTTTTGTTGTTATGATTAACCATGAGAAGAAGCGCCAACACAAACTCAAGTAATCAAGTCTACATAAACTCGAACTATGTAACTGTCACGTAGGTGTCCACGGGCGAAGGAGCTATTTCAGTTTTAGCTGACTAGTCGCACCCAGTAGACTAAATAAGTCAGTTACAGGCAGATCGTCAGGCGGAATATCGAAACACATTCACATCAAAGGGACAAAGAAATACTAAAAATTGCCAGGCTTATGTAAAAGTTAAGCTGGCAAATACTATCTACAATGATAATTTCATGAAATACCTAAATGATTTACTAGATGGAGCCTGTACTATTTTAACTGATCTGCTGATAAATGTACATACTCTGAAATAAATTTAAACATATACAAATTATAGATAAACTACGTAGCCATTTGTTTGTTCAAGCGATTTGACAAAATAAAAGTTTTGAGACTCTTATAAGATGCGATGGCGATGGATTTCCGACGGCAAAAAAAAGGGGAGAAGCAACTATCTCCCCTTTTTTTTGCCGTCGGAAATCCCCTCGGATACCATATCGGCATATCGGACTCGAACCGACTAAAACCGCCCGCCGTCTCGGGTACTAATAGCCGGGGAACCAGGTATACCCTAGAAAGGAAGTCCCTGGTGCCCCGAAGTTGCTCCTCCCCTGGATCATGTTTTCCAACTACACCAATTTTTCACTTGACTTGTACAATCAATATTATTACATTTATAATATTATATTAGGCAAAAAATTATGCTATTCGTCACTTATTTGTCATTCAATATCATAATGTATCTAAATGATAATGGTGATAAAGTTTTCATCCATAAGCCTATCAGGATCTGGGTGCATAATACGCAGTCAAAACCACAATGACAATTGAAGCGCTTAATCACTGATAAACTGCTCACTAGTTTTATGCGTTACAGTAATTAGCCTGTAATGAAATCAAACTTAGTAAGTAAAATTCGTTAGTAACGTAGATTGAATATCGGTGCGTCTAGTGAGTTCTTTCTATGTGAGCTCAAATGCTTTGTAAGGCCCCTTCTTACAATCGTATTTGAGCTTAGTTTACAAGCTTAGCTAGAACGATCCTCGGAGGCGATCAGCGACATGAAAACGGTGTTCCTGTTCAACCAACTTAAAAAAAAAGAGCAGATTCACAATGAAGCTGTTTTTTGCATTTTTTTATGTTTGTTACTTGCTTTATTTAAAACGGTGTACTTCCCGTTTGGTTCCATTTAAGATTTTAAGATTTGAAGAAAAAATTCGGCACCTAAGGGTGAATATTAATTAATGGAGAATACAGTTTATTACAATTCATTACGATGCAGGTCTATTAAATAATTAGACAAATGAATACCCGCTCCCCTAGATGGAGAAGATCTGTGTTGCGTAAAGGTCACTCGCAATAAAACCGTTATCGTAAGAGCTTTGCCAGTCCTCCTCAATTTCCTTATATTTTTTTGCAAATATCCTAACTAATATTATTAATAAGAAAGTGATCTTTGTTACTACGATACGCCTTTAACGAATCCTCTTGTTATTTTGCCTATCATGCCTATAAAAAGAAAGTATTATTCCTGAAACTAAAAATAAGAGTTAATCTAACGATTAATGCTTCCTGTGTCGACTGACTACCCGAATTGATTGATACAATTTTACATTGCCGTGAGCGAAGCCGCGGTTGGTAGCAAGTGATTTATATTCAATCTTCTTATAAGGAATAAAAATTTAGTTTTTCGTTATATTTAAGAACGTTAGCATTTTGTATCAAGAGGAACTAGTTGATCTGTTTAAACGGAAGGCTTATTAACTGAAAGGTTTTATCTGCAGAAGCAAATGTGCTTTTCACGTGAGCCACAAAATGTTGTGTAGCTAGTTAATGTGTTCGACGTTCAATGCTCTTATTTCAGTAGAACACAGCAGGTAATCCCTCAATTAACTTCCATTCTAAACCTAAGCACGCACTGTGGCCTTTAAATCGATTGTAGCGTTTTATGGACGGATTTGGTCATTGATGGACGTTGATTTAGCGCTCGACTAATTGCGCTGCGACCGTCCTTGCTTATCCAATAGCTTGCGGAAATGCGACTTAATGAGTAGTGTGAGAATTTGTAATTTTAATGAGTTCTGTTAAAATATAGTATGTATATTTTATACGAACGTCTAATGTGTAAAAGGAATGTCATTTAATACGAAAAAATAACTGTACGCGGTAGTTATTATGGTTAAATTCTGTAAAATTATCAGAATTCAAAACTGGTTTCGAAAACTTGGTTTCGTTAGGCGGGCGAAGAGAGAATTTTGTCACAATTTCATGACATTTAGATTATGCAGAACTTTCTGGGAACCTTGTAATTGGGTTCTTATTTCAGAACATTGTACGGAATCTGAAACCGTTTCCAGTAAACGACTACAGACTGGTCATCTTGGTGTAATGTAACGTAATGTTGATCTTTATAAACAAGAATCATTGATGAATGTGGCTGTAAATCAAAATATTTTTCTTGCAAAATGGATTTAAGATTATTATTATGCCTGTATATCCCATAGATCAGTTTAGTAAAGATTTCCTTATTTACATAAGTATCACTTTTTATTTTAGTGTAATCTTTTTATTGTAACGTTTTTTTTCTTCTAGGTAACAGATCATGCAAACGAAACATGGTCAGTTAGCACACTAGTCTTCAGCCCCAATCCCATGGACAACGGTGCAACAGTCAAGTGTGTATCGGCTAATCCAAGTTTACCCACGAAGACGATTGACGACCACTTGCAGCTTAATGTTGTATGTTAGTATTCATGTTCTTTTAACAGGTGATGAAGAATTTGTGCCTAGGAGGTCAATTATATAGTTATAAGACAAAAAACTGTGGATGATACTAATAATAAATAAATAAAAGAGGGTCAAAACTCGACTTCGCGTTCAACTTTGCCATAATAATATCTCTCATGCCACTCAAATATAGAAATCAAACGTACTATACAAACGTTACACAGAAAATTCTATATGCAATAGTTGTTAAATAATACAATGTACGAATGTAAAAATGAGTTTCGTGAAATCTAAAAGTCATAGCGTTGCACACGTATGTAATGTACACTCATTGAGATTACGCATAGGTATATGTTTATTTCCTTGTGTGATATGCCCCGCTAACTTTTGGCCGTGTGTCCACAGATGTAACGCAAATACCGTGTTATATACACAGTATTTTGTAACATGCAGACATTTGAAATTTTCAACGAATATTACTTCATTTATTCAAATCAATAGTTGATAGATTGACACACACATTTTTTTCTTTTTCTAAATAAATAAGGTGATAGAGCTTGAAAATTTTTAAAATGAAAATATGATGAAATAAGTTATGGTGTGTAATTTTGAGATATCGCGATATTTATTAGTTTACCAAATGGAAAAATAACTTTTCTCATTCAACTTATTCATACACTCTCGTAAAAGTACTTTAATAAAATACTTACAAAGTAATTTTTGGCAAAAAAAATATTAAGAAAACATCAGCTTTAAACTTTGCCAATGAACATACTTCCAATAGTTGACTAATTCATTTTATTACGTGTTGATATAAAATAAAAAAGATATTTATATAAATGTTTTAACCATCTTTTTTCGCTTATGAGAGACTTATTAACATACGAGTCAGTTAACATACATCACTTGACTGCACAGATGGCCTAGTGGTTTAAGTTTCCTTTCAGAAAGTAAGTTTTTGCTTGAGTAAGTTTTTGAAACGTTTTTCCGTTATTGATTACATTTTTCTACTTTAGAAAAAAAAATACGTTGTGATAATGCGGCAACCCCCCAATTGTCATTTTGGTTTTTAGAAAATTTAAAATTTAGTCTTCTTCTTCCTAGCCTTTTTCACTTTAGGTAGGGTTGGCTCTCCTTATTTCACGGCGCCAAGATATTACAGATTGGGTAAATTCACCTTCCTGAGAAGCTTCGTCATACCGGTCCACCACGTCAAAGTCTCAAAGGAAGTCGTCCTCAGCCTCTTCTGCCTTAAGGTAGGCTTAGAGCCGTCTTCACGACGTGCTGCACTGACCTTATCATGATATGTCCGTCCCACCTCCTTCTACTTTCTGTTAATTTGCTCTGTATTGAAGGCACCTTAAAAGTGAAACGGATATATTCGTTGCAGACTCTGTCCTTTTTCATCACTCCCCCAGACCACCTTAAAATCTTCATTTCTACAGTGTGTAGTTTTTCGACGTGGCATACCTTGACAGCTCATGATTCGGTACTGTACATCAGTGCGGGTCTAACCGCTGTTTTGTACACTTTGCCTTTTGTGCGTATTGATATTGGGGTATTGCACAGTACTCCTGCCAAGCTTCGCCATTTTTGTCAGGTAGCCTTTAGCCGAGGTATTTAAATTGGTTTTTTGGGACCAGGTACCA